GGGGAAGCCAGCTCCTGCGAACACCCATCTCCTCCGAGAGCTGCTGCCCAGGTTGTGCCCAGCCTGCACCTCTGTGGGCCAGAGGGGCTGCGTGCTGATAGTTTGGGCTCCCCTTGAGGTCACAGGTTCCCACTGTGGCCTACTCAGCCCTGAGGACCAGCACAGGCTTCGTGCTCGTTCAGAAGTTGTCTGCTGCCTCTGCGTTGCTCACCAAGCCTCACTCTTGCCTGAGAGCCTGGGGCCTTTTGCACGTGGAAGGAGTAGAGGTGCAGGGCCTTAGGAGGCCCTTGTGGGACCTAACAGCGCTTACTCCTGGCCGGTGCTAGGTGACAGGGGTTTCAGAGGCAGCTTCGTCTCCCAGTGGGACGATGTCTGGCAGAGGTCCAGCTGCAGGGTGAGCTCTTTTTAGAAGGAGGCATTTAGGGAGAGGCCAGGCTGCGGTTGAACTGCCGCCACCACGCAGAGTCCCTGCACGGAGGTGCCCGGGATTCGGGTCGTTCGGAAAGTGTTCCGATCGATCACTGCGTGGAACACAGTTATGGCTGGGGTCACGGTGACAGATGGGCTGTCTGGCAAGGATGTGCCGGGACACAGTCTCTGCTCTCTCCCACACAAGACCAGCTGTGCCAGGCAGGCCCTGAGCACAAGGCCCAGCGGAGAGGCCCGGGTGGCAGGGCTACCTCGTCTCTGTCAGGCTGGAGGTGTCAAAGTGACACATGGAAGTTCACCTTGTCACCGGCTCGCAGATGGGGGAACAGGCAGAAAGCCACAAGCAACGGCAGAGCAGGACAGCGTGGGGAGCCCTGCGCCGGCAGGACCAGGCAGGGAAGCCCAAGCAGGCCTTCCAGGGGCACCAAGCTGTACCTTAGAGCGGGCCCAGTGGCATCGGCTTGATGACAGCTTTAGAAAGAAAAGCCCAGCGGACACCAGGAGAGGGCTGGTGTCCGGAGACCGGAGAGGGCTCCGTGGTGGCCTGGGCAGGGTGGCAGCCGTCTGGGGAGATGGTGGAGAGGTAGGGGCAGCTCCGGAAGCCAGGGTTCCCGCTGAGGAGCTCTGTGCTGACCGCTGAGCAACTGCCCAAGACAGGGGCCCCCAGGGTCCTGGCCTGGAGCAGAGGGACGCGAGGTGACCGGGAGGCCTCAGGAAGGAGGCTGGGCTTCTCTGAGTGTGGCGGCGGCTGTGAGAGGCACCGGGTCGGCTCAAAGGCGGGCCCCAGCCTGGTGACAGGAGAGGGAGGCCCAGGGCCGGGGCCTTGGGAAACTGGCCGGGAAGAGGTCAAGGGCAGGGGCCACGTGGACACTGGTGGGAGTGGGCGAGTGGACGGGTCGACTGGCTCAAGTGCAGGAATGGCGGGCAATGCCAAGGAGCAGAGGCGGCGGCAGCGCCCCTGTGGCGGGCGTCACTCTGCTCTTCGGTGCTCACTTCTTGCAAGTGCTCCTTTATTTGGGGACCTGACGGCTGCCTGACCTCACCTGTCCCCCTGTGTGTCCAGCTCCAGAGGAGGAAGCTACGACCACCCAAGCAGC